GAAAGGGGAAGAGGAAGAAAAGAAAAGAAAAGAATGAATAAATAAAAATCGGAAAGGTTAAAGAACCGCAAAATTCCCAGGGATCCCACCGGTGCAGCTATGAGTTTGGAGAAGCTGCTCTCAGGTGTTGCAGTACAGCCTGGCTAGAAGGCACAGAGGTATACAAAGCCAGGTATTCAGGGAACATAAAGAGAAGGAAGATATAGAGAGACGAGAAACTGAGCAATGAAGAAAGACAAAAAGGGAAAAAGAGGGAAAAGAAAACAAAACAGATTAAAAAAAAAAAGAACAAGAAAGGCCCCCAAAAAACAGAAAAAAAAAAATCAACGAAAAAAAAAATGCCCTCAGGGATCCATCTGTACATCAGTGGAAGCCGAGGGGGAAGTCTCCTTGCCACGCAGCACTGCCTGGCCAGAAAGGGCTCCCAACTCTAGAAAAGGAAAAGAAAACAAACAAACAATTCAAAACAAATGAACAGAAGCCCCGGGATCCCACTAGTGTGGCAGCCCAGACCGGGAAGCAGCTCCACACAAGAAGGAGGTCCACAGCCCCTCAGGAAGACGCAAAGATGGTGCACAGAACCAGGTATTTGAGCGAAAGGAGGGGGAGGTGGTGAGAGGTAAGGAAGAAATCAAAAGAAGCAGAAAAAAAAGCAACACTAGCAGCCAACAAATGGGACTCAGAGAGCCAGCTAGTGCGGGCTGGTGTTTCTCGGACAAGAGACTGTGTCCGCTGGAAGCAGAGGTGGCCGAGTGTTGGTGAAGAAGGGTAGGGAGTGGGAAAGTGCATATCACAAATTACCAGAGCTCTGTAGCCCCTCAGGAAAAAGCAAAGGTGGCCCACGGAATCAGGTATTTGAGCAAAATGAGGGGGAGGTGGTGAGAGGCAAGGAAGAAATCAAAAGAAGCGGAAAAAAGCAACACCAGCAGCCAACAAATGGCACTCACAGAGCAGGCCAGTGCGAGTGGGTGGAATCCAAGCAGCTGGTGTTTCCCGGTCAAGAGATTGTGGCCTCGGGAAGCAGAGGAGCCCGAGTCGGGGTGAAGAAGGGTGGGGGGCGGGAAAGTGTATATCGCAAATTACCAGTTGTTTTGTCTCCTGCTGGAGCTCTGTGAGGCTGCTTTCTCGTACCCCCTGTTTGCTGGTCTCTGATAGGAGTCCAAGATGGCGGACCTGCACTGCATTAGCTGGTAGGGGACCTCTGCATGAATCTCTCCTTGCTCTCCGTTCTCTGCCAGTTTTCTTACTCCATTTGGTGCTTGGCTCAGTTCTTTATCTCTTCGTTTGATGTTTTAGGGTTTCAGGATTGTTGTATTTTCTGTTCGGCTTAGTTTTTCGGATCTTTGCTGTGGAGGGACGGCATGGTGCTTCTGCCTAGAGCGCCATTTTGCCGGAACTACAATTCACTTTTAATAGCTGCTCAATTACCATTTCAAAGATCCAGTACGGAGTTCATGCTTGTATATTGCCCAATTTAAAATATTTTAAA